TGAAGTATTTTTAAAGTTTCTCTCTCCAATATTGATTTAACACTACATGTATACTTATGTATCGTAAAATTGACTCAGTCGATTTTTATTTGTTTGATACTCCCATCCACACCGAACAAATCACCAGATGTCTTGCTTTTGCCGATCCGTAGTGACTCGTTCACGCGATTGTTCTTTTCATCTTCCAAAAACCATTCGCGGAAATTTTCGATTTTCTTATAATTCGCGTCCATCAATTCCTTTATCGGACCTGCTTTCCCACCACACTCGTTGGGCAATACGTCTATTGGAATGTACTCGCTTAAGCTTTGCACTGACGTGTGGAGGTATATCTGTGAAAAGATATTACTCAGTATCGCGTATATCTTCTATTTAACATTATTCTTGATAGACTTGATATACTTAATAAGCAAATATTGTTAATTTAGAAAGAACCAATTAAAATATTTGATGTAATATTTTCTATCACCGTGATTTAATTTTTTAAATTCACAAGTTGTTTCAGGACACCTGGAACGAACTTCAGAGGATGGTAGTTCTTATCAAGAGAATCAATTTTTGTCTAGAAACCCTTCGATGCGACCTTGTTCGGACCACTTTTGAAGTAACCAGTTGTACGACACATTCCCAGTATGCATAAACATTAAATCAATCTTACGAAACATTGATTTTATGTGGGTTTTATATAAATTTTGACATATATATAATACATATATATAATATTTTATAATTGTTCTTAAACTGTTACTTGGTAATATAATATTCCTAAATATTAAAATCATATTGTGTAAATATTATTTCTAATGTTCGGGTCAAATACTGTTAAAATAACGTTGCGTACAACATTAAGAACTACATATTTGAAAACATTATGTGTTATAAAATATCAATGTAATAACGTTGTAATAATGATTTAATGTTTACTGGGTTGCAAGTGACGCCTGAAAATATTATTCTGCGTTCTTTCATCTCGTTTTTACCCTTTTGTTGTTTTTCTTTTAATTTTATTTAGATATTCAATGCTGCAAATATATATATATATATATATATATATATATATATATATATATGTATGCATGTATGTATGTATGTATGTATGTATATATGCAATTAGATGTAAAACAAGTACTTTGAGTATCTTCTGCAATAGAATTTGTAAATAAAATTAAAAAAAATAATGCAAAAATAAAATCAAAAAACGTAAGCTTATATCGCCAGATGTTATATGTAATGCTTTGTTTGCGTACTTAACAGGTAACCCAAATAAAGACGCGTCGCAAGACACAGATTCCTTGATAAAACCTGATTCTCTTGGTGAGGCGTACCCTTCCCTGAAACTTGTCCCGTGAATTCTGAAACGATCTTGTATATCACATTATTCCACCTCTTCTTGCCAATGGCAGCAGATTGTGGGAACAATAATTTTATCGAGGAGAAATAATTTGTTAAAAAAAATTGAAAAAATTTTCTTACCAAATTTATTAATTCCGCATTTATGAAAGGTTTTATCATATTGTATCCCATTTCGGCT